CACACACACACACACACTTTCTATATGTTGCCTGTACCAGTTCATTTCCTTAGTGCAGCATGCCAGCTAAGTTAGTTCCTAGAAACTGACATTTCCTGTCTGGGGAACACAGACCTGGGTGATACTATGAATACATTTGTATTACCAGGTAATTTCAATGACTTGGTGTGAAGAAAAAAATACACACCACTAATACTGGTAGCAGGCAGTGCAAAACAATCATTTCAAACACAGCTTGTGATTGCACAATGACATAAACTGGAAGTAGCTAATATTAGCAATAATTTTATCCAAGCAAAGTATATAGCTTAATTTGAAGAACATTGGAGGACATGGCAAGTTGAGAGTGCCTCACTCACTCTCTCTCTCTCTCTCTCACACACACACACACACAAACACACACACACACAAACATATATTTAGAGAGAGAGAGAGAGAGAGAGAGAGAGAGAGAGAGAGAGAGAGCCAATTGCCACACATGGCGTGGAGGGGTCGGCGTTTTAAGACCTGCATTATTCTGTCATTGTAGTAGCAAGTTAATTACATGGATCCAACAGGAATGAATCAATAATAAAACATACGCAAAAAATAAAAACTCACAAAAATGCTGCTTATATTTTTTTGAACTAGGTACATATAGGCCTTTATTACACAGAGTCACTAAAGTGCAAAAGAGAAATACAACACGACTAAAGCACTTCTGTGGTATAACCAAATTCCTTCCATTCTTAGAAAGCGATTATCTCACTTGCTTTTTCTACTCCACCTCTCCTAATATTATCACAGAAAGCTCAGCGTTTGTACAACGCATCTCAATTTCCACAGCAAAGTATCCACTTGATGTGATTACCTCATATCTAGTATTGTTATCTACATAAAAGCCCAAGACACACGAAACCACTTAAATTCAGTCTCTTACAAACCACATCAGAGTCAAACGAGGAGGGTAAATCTAGACCAGCTTTTTGAGGAGCCCTTCCACAAATATGTGAACACAAACCTTACACCTTTACACATCTAAAAATAGCCCTCATCCAATTTAGAGAAAATTTCCTTTGAGAAGGTAGTGACATGCATGGAGTATGGGTCATTTGATATTATCATTCAATTAATTTGATTATCTCTAATCAATTTCTGCCATTCAGTCAGTTCCAATTGAACAAATAGCCTTCCAATGGCTGTATTCGACTACGGCCGTGTCCATTTGCTGACCGTACACCAGATACTTCTGTTCCAGATCAATGACCACTGTATCTAATTTCTGCTGAACAATTATCTCCATAACAAGATTATTTAAGCATCGAATTCTTCCATAGTCAGAATGTTTAACCTCATTTGATCAATCAGAAGTTAATTTCTTTCTAAGTGAACCCTAAGATAATATTAGTTGACAGATACTGAAGCTTCTATACAATTCAAAATTTTTGTTTTTATTATTTTTTTCAACCTCTCTAACTGACTTTTTCCACCACCACATAATATACTGCATCTATAACCAACATCTCACAGGACATCTTTTTGCTATAACATTTTCTTGAACCATATATATACCTTAATAATTTTAGCTTCATCAAAATTTTGAACTAAATCAGTAAGAATTGTAGAAGAGCAAAATTTTATATTTTCATACGTAAAAATTCTAATTTGTTAAGCATTTGGTTAATATGTATTATGTCAGAGAGCACCTTGTCATTTCATCAGTGGCAAAAACCACTTCACTTTAGCCTAGAATCCCCCTGGTAGCATAAGGCAGTTATTATAAGGCCCAGTGTCAATACCAACACACACAAAATACTTCATCTGAAAGCACAGCACTAAACTAACACCAGTGGTGCTCAAGATCACCAGTTATCTAAGACCTATACAAGCACCGCTTAGCCTGGTTATCATTTAATGTGGTCAGTCAACATACATTATCACTGACCACTTAGTTTGACCAGTCTACTTCTGACCACCAATGCCTGTCTCCATTATACACGAATGACTGATTTAGAATATGGTTGTGGATAAGTTATCTAAAAGGATTAACATTTTTAAATTAAAAAGAATTCTCTTTTCAAGTTATTTTTCTATATATTTTATGATTTGAATTTATTTAATACTTAAAATGTAATTTTTCATCCTCTTTTATAATTTCAAGAAAATGAAAAAAAAAAAAAAAAAAAAAAAAAGCATTTTGCCTGGAGATTTTTTCATAAGAAAATGAAGATCTATCGACCATTACTCAGGTACTCATAGAGAGCCACCCATCACTTCTATAGGTATGTTTTCCACAGTCTCTGATAAACAATTTAAATGACACAGGTCCCAGTGATAGCTGATCAGAAGTCATAATTCTCTACACTGACACTAATTCAATTATAACCACCTATCTGCTGTGTGCACTATGGTGATATATCTACATGATGGAGAGATACAGAGAGAAATTTAGAAGAGAGTGCTATGCTAGGTTCTCAACTTATGTAGTCGTACCAGAAAGAAATCCATACTCCATAATATCTAGATGATGAAGATAAAATACAGATAGAAATGTGGTTGCTTTACTTAGGGCCCCTTTACACTGGACGGCGTCCTTTCTGCGTCCAGCAGTACGGACCCATTTGAGAGTTAAAAAATTATAATACTTTACGTGCAGACAACTGGCCGATCATTGAGCATTCATTCTGATACAAAATCAATGCTCGTGCCTCCTTATTAAGACCACAGCGATGCCAAATTTCATGGTTGCAGAAAGGACGCAGAAAGGACGCCGTCCAGTGTAAAGGGGGGTTTAGGACGAAGAACCAAGAACTAAGAAGAGAAACAAATCCCTATTCTAATGTTTGCCTATAAGGCCCTGAAATGCTACATATTAAAAAAAAAAAAAAAAAAAAAAAAAAAAAAAAAAAAAAAAAAAAAAAAATTTTATAACCCAAAAAAAAAAATTTAAAAAAAAAA